GTCTCATCCGGACATTTATATGAAAATTCTTAACTATTGTAAAGATAATTATGATACTAATGATATTAGAATGGGTGTGGTTGTTAAAGATTCAATTAAAGAATTTGAAGATTGTACTAACAAGAAAATTGAATCTACACCTGTTAAGGAGAAAGAAGTAAGTATTGATGATATGGTTGATGATATTGCTAAGGATGTGTCTGTGTTTTCTAGTGGGTTAGAAGCTGGTGATTTAGCTTATTCTATCAAAAAGAGAGTTAATAGAGTAAAAGATAAGAAAGAGTTTTGGTTGGAATATTTGTATGTATCAGTTACTCACACTAAATCAGCAAGTAAGTTGTGTGAATTATTCTCTAGGCATTTAGTACCCATTTGTAAGCAAAATTTAAATTTAACTAACAATTTTATAAGTTTTTTAAAGGAGTTTAAAGAGGAGGTTTCATCTTTTAGAGATTCTGAACCTGTTTCTAAGAAAAAGTATCCCGAATTACTTTGTTATTTGAAGGCTGATAAAAAAATTACAGATAGTGAGTTTGAAGGTTTAAAGTTTGATGATTTTAATGACCAAATAATCTTCCTTTTTAAAAAATGGAAATCTCAAAATGATCAAAGATTGATGTTGTTTGTTTCTAAAGATAAGTTTGATTCAATTTAATTAAAATAAATTTTTTTAAAAAATTATACTTTTTATTGATCTTTACGAATGATTTATAAAAAAATTACATTTTAGAATTAATAGAAAAGAAAGAAGTTTAATATTGTTAAAGTATAAAATACTATTAAAAATAAATTTTACTAAAGTTAATTAAAAAAACTATTAAAAATAAATTTCTATTTAAACAAGACTTATAATAATCACTTTAAAAAACAATTCATATAAAATTTTATTTTTATAATCTTTTTTAATAAATCAATTGTCTTTAAATAATTTTTTTAATAAGTACAAATAATTAAATCTAACTTTTCCATATCTAGATGAAATAAAGTTGTGTTTGTTAAATTCAGGGATAAAATTAACATTTTTAAAAATATAACCAACCCTTAATATACTTAATTTTTTTAAATGTTTTATAATAAACTCCTTATTTTCTCCAAATTGATAATTAAGAATATAAAATC